CCCGCTCCTGTCGGAGGGCAGTGCTGGCCCGCGGGGGGGGGGGGTGTGCTATAGCCGCTGTTTGAATGACTACAAATGTACCCCTCCATGTCTCCCAGGAGCCAGCGTCCTCCTCCCCAGCACCCCTGGGCCCCTTGCAGGTGGTGCCTGCAGCCCTCAGAGCCCAGTCTTGTTCCAGACAGAAATGAAGCCGGGCTAACATTGCACAATGACAAACTCAAACCATTATTCTGTCAAGATCCAGATGAAAAATAAGGGAGCCTGACATGCCATGATTTGTTAACTTGACATCGCCTCACTTTGCGATGCACAAATTTTAATTAAAATCTCAGGAGTGATTTGGAAGCCCTTTCACTGTATGCCTTTGGGCTCTTCCACGCTGCCCTGGGGGAAGGGCAGGGCCTCCTTATAACAGGGACAGGGCTGGAATGATGGTCCCTAAAGGATTGAGGGACTGCTGGGCCACCAGAGAAATCAGGGATGTTTCTAAAAGGCTGGAAAGATTAATTAACTAGCTTTTCTGGATCAGTCATGCAAGCTCTGCCCTTCAGGGTAAGGAACCTTTGAGAGCAAATGGAAACTCCCAGCCACTCACCAGTGCACCCATTTCACAGGTGGGGAAACCAAGCCCCAGGGAAGTGGTTTGCACAAGGACGTGCCCACTGCCAAGGCAGGGTGTGTGTGAGGGGTGGGACTCTGCCCAGGAAAGCGGGGCAAGCCAGAGGGTGCGTGAGCATAGGTCCCACTCTATTTACCAGGAACCTCTGGCTCAGGGCGGGTTGGCCAAACCGAGGGAGAGATGAGGAGTGGGTGGCAAGAGCAGGAAGGCAAATGCCCTTCATCCCCATAGTCACATAGAGATGAAAGAAGGCAGCTCCACTCCCAGTCTTGCTCCTCCCGGCTTCTCGGAGAAGCACCTGGAAACCTCTCCATCCTGCCGCAAAAGCCCCAGTCCACCCAGGCAGCCTGAGCAGAGGGCTGGGCAGATGGCCTGAGGCGGTACCCCAGCCTCCTTGGGGCCCTGACAGACCAGCAGCAGGTCCTGCCATCCCCCTCGTCTCGGTCTAGGGCACACAATGTAGCAGAAGGAGCTGGCTGGTGCAGGGGTCACTGGGGTGAGGGGTCAAGCAGATGGCCATGTGTGAGGGGCAAGCGGAGGCTCAAAGGGACCCGCAGGCTGGCGTGGATCAGCAGCGCCAGCCGGGGCCTCCAGTGAGGAGACCTGGAGTCTCTGTGACCTCTCTGCACCTCGGCCTCACCTGAGGAGTGGGGAGAGTTGTCACACCCGTGCTGCTCCGGGACAATGCAAAGATGGAGGGAGGCCAGATGCATGTGAGACACGTGTGGAAACCATGAGCCGCTGGGCCCTCTGCCTGGAGACCCAGGAGCCCTGGCAGTGAGGCTGCCTGCCGCCCATCCACAGCACTCAGTGCCCGCCTTCGCAGCTCCCAGGGGTTGCCAACCCCACCCCCGCCTCCTGGACTCACCCTCAGGGCCGGCAGGGAGCTGACCTGGTCCGTGGTCAGTGTCGCCTCCTTGTAGTACTTCCCAGGGGGGCAGAGCTTCAGGAAGGTGTCATGGATGCTGAGGAGAGAGGCGTGATGGCCACATGGGCTGGGAAGGAGACCCACAAGCCCCCTTTCCTGCCAGGGTGGAGGGAGGTTCAGGACTGACAGACACAGAAAAGTCAGTTAATAAATCTTTCCAGCCTTCTAGAAGCATCCCTGAGGCCTCTGGTGTGCCCAGCACACCACCGGGAGGTAAAAATGAACCAGGCACGAAGGAAGATATGGAAATACACTCTATGGCCTGGAACGCACCCTGCAAGTGTCATTTACTGCAAGTCAGAGCTGGAAGGGACTCCAGTGTCACTCAGTCCAGTTACTCAGTTACAGATGGAGAAACCAGTAGGGCCTTGGGGAAGCCAGGGTCTCAGCCTCTGGTCAACTACCCAGCCCCATCCTCAGCCCAGAGGAAATAGTTGTTGAGTGGCTCAATGGTGGTACACCTGGACCCACATGGGAAAGGTCCTGGGTTCACATCCCGGGACCTTCCTGGACATCCCAGGTATGCACGTACATGTCCATGAACCAGGTGCGCTGAGACTGGGTGTGGAAGAAATAGATGAATAGATTTTGAGAAAGAGGAGAGAGAAAAAATCCAGAAGACTCCAGTTGACCCAGCTGAGAGTACCAGCCACCTGCTTTCTGCTGGGTCACTGCTGACAGGTCCATTTGGATCCTACCCCTCTGCCACTAGCTGTGTGACCCGAGGCAGGTTGGCAGGCATCTCTGAGTCAACAGACCTAGGTTCAAATCCTGACTGTCCAGTGGAGAGACAGGCCCCTTCAGATGTCTGTGCTGGCTTGTGAGAGGGCCTGACAGACGGGAGCTGGGATGGTGCCTGGCTGTTCACGGGACCCCAGGACTCCATGGCCAGAAAGGACCCAGACTCACCAGAGGCTGTGCAGGTTTGAGAGGGAGTAGAAAATCGGGGTACAGAATGGACAGGAGGAGACCTTCTCTAGGAAGGGATGGAGGCGAAGGGTGGAGGGTGGACACCACAGGTCAGCAAGGAGGACCAGAAAGCCCTCGCTGCTGGAGTGTCCGGTGGTCTACAAGAGTGGGGCAGTTCAAGAGGTTGGCTCCAGTCACTGTCACTGCCATCGTTAGAGTTGCTAGTGTAGGGTGACAATGACAAGCAGACCAGAGATCAGATAGTGACAGAGCAGTAAAACCTGACACTCTTCTAGGCAGTCCCAAAGAGGAAGGTTCCTGGTTCAAGTCCTGAGACCTCTCTCAGTACAAGCCCATGCTCGTCCATGATCCCGGCCTGGCTAAGGCTGGGGGTGGAGTGCCGTGTCAAGACCCTGCTGGGGTGCTGGCTCTGGCAGTCTCTCTCTCTCTCATGAAATAAATACATAAATAAACCTTTTAAAAAGTGGACTAATTTGGGAACCAGCAGTTAGCGTAATGGCTATGTCGCTGGACTCCCACGTAGTCGACCGCGGTTTGCGTCCCGGACCCGGTGGTTTAAAACTCACTCTGGGCGCGTGTGCGTGCGTGCCCAAGATCCCGAGAGGAGAATGGAGGAGAAGGGATTGCGGCGTGACCATCCCCCCTGGGGGGTGATTTCTCGTTTTCTGTCTCTATGTCTCTCTCTGTCTGTCTGGCGAGCGCACACGCCCTTATAGTGAAAAACCTCTCAAAAAAAAAAAAAGTGGACTAATTTTATAAGCTCTATACATTAAGGAGCCTCCCTAAGGCAGTGCTCTCTCACGGCCTTCAGGCACTCAGGGTGATTTCTCCCACCCCCACCCCCTCAGGGGTGGGGGACAGCACTGGAGGTGCCTGCTGCAACTCTCACGGACATTTTTCATTTTTGATGACAATCTGGCGAGGAGGGACCACTATGTCTTTCACAGATGAGGATACCGAAGGCCAAGGAGGTCACACGGTGGCAAGTGTGAAAGCCAGCACTGCAGACACTGAAGCTCTTCCTTCCCGGTATGGAGAAGAAAGCGTCAGGACAGCTGGGGGAAAGAAGAGGACTCCATTGCCGTGCCCCTGACCCACTCCTGCCTTTTTATTTCCCAAACTCTACGTGCTGGGAGCAATCACATCCCTTCTCTCATCGAGTCTTCCCCACAACACCCCCTGGGAGAAGTGGAGGAGTGATCGTTTCTACAGATGGGTAAACTGAGGCTCTGGGAGTTTAGGAAGTATGCCCAAGGGCACACATCTGGGAAGAGACAGAGAGGAGGGCTGAACCCTTGGCCAGGTTTTTGGGGCTGTGCCACCCTCCAAAGGATCTACACCTTCTACCCTTGTGATGACTCTCAGCCCTACCCCCCAGGAAGGTGGTGCAGGAGAGAGGGCTCTGCCCCTGCATGCCTTCCCAGGTTGCTGAGGGGCTGGGCTCCCCGCAGATGAATCACGGCTACATCTTGCCTGCCACAAAATGCTCTTCTCCTCCAAATATGGATCAGCTGGCTCTAAATGGAACTCAGAATTAATCACTAATGGGCTCAAAAGTCAAAGCCATTTGAGAAACTCACACATTGAGCCACCAGAACGCGAGCAGCAGGCGGTGGCCTCTTCCACTTGGAGCCCAGAGACTCAGGCGGGGGTTGTCTACGGGCTCGAAGGCCCCCCAGACAGGGGAGGAGGCCAGCTCTGTCTCTATCCGCTGTTGGGAACTTGGACCTGCCACGTCCCCTCTCAGGTCTCAATCTCCCCTTAGTGAAATGAGAGTCAGCAGACCCCTGACACCCTCCAAATGAGCTTGGGCTTCTCTTGGGCATCCCATCTACCCCCTTTCCTTGGAGACCCTCTAGTTTTTGACTGGGTCCATCATTAGAATCCTGTAGGGAGTTTCTAAATGAATCTGTGTCTTACCCCCTGAGATTCCCATCCAAAGCTGAGATGGAGCCCAGGCATCTACGGGCTCCACAAGCTTCTCAGTATTTTTACAGCACGGGCAAGGTCTAGAGTATAGTTCATGTACAGGGATTTTCAGATAGTTTGTGGAAAATGCATATTATGACAAACTGTGCATAATTTTTTTTGCACCGAAATAAACTCATGCTTTAATTCCACTGTTCTATGAACTTTGTGAAGTCCCCTTGTCTAAGCACAGATTTCTGCTCCTTAATCCCCACCAGGGCTCAGCTCTCTGGGCTTTGTCCACACCTATGGGGTCGATGGTCCTTAGGCCTTTGGTACTGATAGCAGATATTTTACAAAAGGCTTCTCTTTACCTTGAACATGAGACATTTAGTCCACCTCCGAGCAAATCATTTCATTTCTCTGAGCCACTTCGCTCATTAGCCAAAAAGGAAGACAGACGCCATGATAAGAACAGCTACCACACACTCGGTGGCACTGCTCTCTCTGATGTGCAATCGATCGTCTCATTGATCCAATAACAACTAGGAGTGATTAGACTCTATTGCGCTCATATCACACTTTTTTAAGTATGGAAACTGAGGCTTAGAGAGGGTAGGAAACTCCCCTGTGTCGCACAGTGGGTGAGTGGCAGAGCTATGCCTTGACTCAGACCCTCGGCTTCCAGGAAACAATCCTAGAACCAGCCTACCTGCTGACTTCAAGGAGCACCAGGAAGACAAGCACTTGTGTCTGGGTCAAGGACTTGGATGCTAACATGAAAGAGTGACCTTGTGGCTGGGTTGGCCTGAGCAGGGACTGGGAACAAAGCATCAGACTCCCAAACCAGGCCCACTCCCAACCTGGGGCAGGAGTGGTCAGGTTAAACCTGGAGCAATACAGGTGGTCCAAATGCTCAGCCTGAGTCAGGCCCACCTGAGCCTCAGCCACCGAGATCTGGACTAGAGTAAAGCTGTGCCCCACCCAGGAAGCCCCATGTGTCCTCTTCAGTTTGCAGAGTCTCCAGCCATGGTCAGAAGGATCTGGCAACTGAGCCCAGAAGAGGCATCTGAGAAGCAGGGGTTTCTGGGGCAGCCAATTCGACCAAAAGTCAGAGAGGATTGCCCTGAAGTTGAGCCCAAAGTAGCCTTTTTCTTTCTGATACCAAAAAGACATGAAAGAGAAGGCCACAGATGGGAAGCTTAGGTGGACATGCCCCTCTGGGGGAGCCATGCCAAGGCAACCCTGGTCTGGGAAGGGGCTGGCTCCAAGACCAGAGTCTGTCACATGTGGTCTGTCCTCCCAGGAAGTGTCATCAGCAGTTCTGGTGACCAGATCTTTGTGTCCTCATGCAACTCATAGATAAGAAGGTGGGAAAGTGTTGTAGTGCCACCCTCCCTGCAAAGATTACTTATTTCTATCAGTCTCTTAGATATTTTTTGCAACTGGCTAACTCTATCCAGCTGTCCTGTCAACCAGTCCACATTTCTCTGTCACATTCACAGGAAAATCACAACATGGAGTCAGAGGCCACATAGGAAAACTGTTCAAAACTTGACCTTGGCAGTCCTGGATGTTTACTCTCTGTCCTGAGCATCACATTGCACCTGCTCCCTGAGCCACTGCCAGTGCAGCTGAGCATCGATATCAAAGTTGTCCCCTTCACATTGCAGACATAACACTGACACTAACCCTAATATATCCAGTCCCCCAGGTCTCCTCAAGAAGCTACACTATTATTAGTCTGTGTATGTATCCTTTCAGAGGCATTTGTCTTCTGTGTGCATATGTATGGATATCCCTTTATTTAAAAAAAAATAGTAGTGTCTATATAAACCAGTCTAGTTTTCCAAAATAACTCAGTTAAACAGGTTAAAAATGCAAGTAGTATTATATGATTTACAATTACAATGACCAATACCCAGTACTCCGTGCTCTCTCTCTACCCCTGCTCTCCAGAGGAAGAAATTTAAAAACATTTTGCTATTTTTCTTGGTTTTTACTTAATATTTATATAATATTTCTAAACATTGTGCTGATTTTGCCATCTGTTAATTTTTTTCAATATAGACATTATCTTGTGATCTCCTAATATGCAAAAAGAGGATTTCTTTCTTCCTTTATACTTCTCTTTCCTTCACTCTCTCAGTATAAAACAATTTGGCTGAATTAATATTCAGTATTTATATTGCTATAGATTATATATGTACTATTCAAACATTGGTCCCAGATGAGTTTCCTAGTATAACATGATTACGTTTTCTTTCTCTCAAGGCTTTTTGTTTTTCCTAGAGTTAATAATGCCTTTGTTTTTCTTTTGCATAGGTTTCAGTGTGTCTATCACTATTTCATCGCCAAACTTTCTACAGAATTGTAAAGTTCTTCTCAGTATGGCAGTACACATCATTTGATCCAAAGGTTCATTTTCTTTACTTGGAGGTATCACTCCTGGGACACCTGACTCCTTAATCCTAATCTAGAGCAACTGCTTTCCAGGTCTGCTATGCTGTTTTCACCCTTGAGTGAAACAGCATCATCAATATCATCCTCCTTCAACATCATCCTTATAATTAATTTTGCCTTTCTGTATGTTGAAATCCTTTGTTTTAGGATTTTCTATGTCTTCTTTTTAAATTTTATTTATTCATTTATTTTAATTTGATTAGAGAGAGAGAGAGAGAGAGAGAGAAAGTGAGAAAGCAAGCCGCCAGATCCAGGACTCGAACCATGGTCAGCCATGTGGGAGTGTCCAGCACCTTAACCACCATCCACCTGCTGGTCCCAGGATTTCCCATGTCTTCTAGTTTCTTGGTTCACCTACAAGTTTTAATGGAACACATCCTTCACAAACTCCCTAAGTGAAGGTCCATAAGAGATCATTCCCTTTTTTCAATTTTCAGATAAAAAATCATTATTAAGTGTTTGCTCTTGATTAATAGTTTAGCTAGGACTTAATTCTAGATTGAAAAATTTTCAATTAGAATTCTGAAGGTGTTTAGTCACTGTCTTCCAACATAAGTCCAAAATGATGCTGATTCCTGATGCTCTGTATGTAATCTTTTTTTTCTTTTCTTTATGGAAACTTTTAGAACCTTCTCATTATCTCTGGCATTCTGAAATGTTATGATGATATGACTTGGAGCATGCAGACCAGCTTTTCTTCTTCCCTCAGATACCTGGTGTTCCTTGGCTTTCTATCATACTTCAGTGGGACTCTAAAATGCTGACCAGAAGCTCACCACAAGCTTCACTGTGCCTGTTACCCTGTGTCAGGAGCTCACCTGGCTCAACTCTCTCCAGTTGGCAAACTCTCATCTTCTATTGGGGTGGGGCAGAGGTGCCTAGTGCAGGGTGACAAAAGGAATCACATAAGACTTTCGATCTCCCATTCTGTTTTCACCTGGCCCTACATCATGGGCGTGAGAGGCTCCTGGGCCTTTCGTAGCTCTTGACACCATCATTCCAGCCTCTGTGCACAATTTTCTTTCTGTTTTCTACTCAGCTAAGTCTGTATCATGGATCTATCTGCTTTGCACTTTTGAAACTTTGGTTGACCTCTCTCACCTACTGTCATTTCTTCTGTTATTTTTCTGTCCTTATGTGTTTCTTCTCCTTTAAAAAAAAAAAAAAAAGAATTCCTTTACCCTATTTTAAGTAGAGGAAACAGAGATAAAAGAAAATCCTCTATTCTCCATAACTGGAAGTCCCCTGCACTTTGCTTTCTTAGTAATAATATACCTTGAAGATGGGCTCCACATCAGACATAAAGCTCCTCCTCCTCTCTAAGGGCAGTATCCCATTCTTGATGAATCAGCATTTATTTCACCTATGTCCTCCTGACATGGGAATGCTAAGGTCAAAGTGCCTTTTCCATTTTGACCCAGGATAGCTGAGCCTCTCAAGTCTTTGCCATTTCTCTCCCATCCTTCAAATCGCTTTCCAGCTGTTCCACATCCTCAGTTATTCCTAGGCTATGGTTTCCTGGGTCTGGAAAATCACCTTGGTTGGAAGCAGCAGAGAGCTCTCTCTGGTATTTCTCTGTCCCCTTCATGCTTGTCTCTCCCTATCTTATTTAAAGATGTTCAGTACAGAGAAACAGAAGCAGAGCGGGAGCGGGGCCTTTTCACTCTTCACTCTGCCTCCCTGTCAAAGCACTGTCCCATTCCTGTTCTTCAAGGTCCCAAAGGGTGGGTGTCTGTGAGCAAGAGCCACCGAGCAGCAGACATGGCTCCGCTTCCTGCTCAAGAGTGGAGCTGTCAACAGAAGGGGTGGGCCAGAAAGAGCTCAGAGAGCTTCATAGAGAAGTTTGCTGTGGAACCTTCCTGGCAGCACTCTCAGAACCCCGCTTCCATGGGAACACAGGTGGAGCTGTGCCCTCCTCAGGGGATGGTGCCTTCAATTGGGATGGAAATTGGTTATAAACAGGGTCTGGCAGAGGCCCTGTCAGGGCCTGAGTGGGCAGTTCAAAAGGTAGGCGTCTCTAAAGATGGTTTGTCTCCAAGGAACTCTTTCTCCAAAGGCCAGTACAGAACAAGTGAAAATGGAGGGCGGCATGCGGGAAAGAGAACCCAAGCCCTCCCATACTGCTCTTTCCTCACTCATCCCCTCCCCACCAACCACCGCCACCATGCTCACTTCTTGGCATGTATGAGGAGCCCTCAGACCTAGAGAAGACCATTGGGAAGCCCTTGGTGTAGAAGGAGGAGCAGAAACAGTCGTGCTCTAATGCCTAGAGGAAACCCCTTTGAAGGATGATATGTCATACTTATCCAAATTTTAAACCTTTCTCCCCTTTCTCCAGCATTTCAATGGCTAGGAATTTCTCTGGTAGATTTACTTTTACCAGTGGGATAAACTCTTTGTACATAAATATTTAATATAGCATTATTTGTGGAAGTGAACCTTAAATGATTTAAGTGTTCATAAAAAGGGGCTGGAAAAATGAATTATGGCTCATGAGGGAATGATCCATAACTATTTAAAAAAGAATGAGGCAGAGTTCTATGTATTTCATATAAAACTGGTCAAGATAGAGGGGAAAAAAAAGGTGTAGAACAGTCTGAATAGGATAAATGCCAGAGTGTAAATGGGATAAAACTCCTGGAGGATGCATCTGTAGGTCTGTGCATGGAAAATTCTGGAAGTATTCACTAACTGAACAGAGGCTTGGGAAGGACAATGGAGAGTTCTTTCATTTAGAACTTTTATACTATTTGAATTTTTAGCCATGCTCACATATTACTTCTTACATTTTGATTTCTTTTTTTTTTTTTTTAAATAAAGAGATGGGTTATTTCATTTAAAAATTTTTAAAGTTAACTTATTTCTGACAGAGAGGGAGAGAGAAAGAGGGAGAAATACAAGCATCCTCCACAGGTCTCACACTACGATCTCCCCCCCACCCCCGCCAGGCTTCCCAGTCAGCGAGGATCATGGGCACACAAGCACATGCATACCTGGTATAGAACAGTGAATCTGGGAACCAAACCCTGATCTTCCACATGGCCTCCAGCATTGCAGGGCATTGAGCTCAATCTCACTATTGTGGCTGGCCTATAGATTTCATTTTATTTTTATTCATGTGTTACTTTTTAGAAAATATATGGGTAGTAGGATATAGGTCATTTGGAGTTTTGTCATGTTTTTCTATATTTAAAAAAGCAAAGGAATGTTGTTTTAAAAGGAAAGCTATGGTCTCCAGTGGCTGTGCCTAGTTTCTGTAGCTCTCTGTGTCCTGGCCATCCCTCATCTCTGCTTGGAGGGGCTCGTGGTTGTGACAGCCATTAACACACCTAAGACTCTGCACGGGAAGCGTGTCCTGCAGGCTGGACATGGTGGCTGTGGAGGGCTAGTCTGAGCAAGGAGAGGTAGCCAGGCTAGAGTGTCTGCAGTCTCCTTACTTCAGCCTCTCCCACCTTGCCCAAGAAATGTCTTGGGGAGCTCATTTATTCATCTAATGAGTTTTCGTTGAGACTTGGCCTGAACCAAGCACGGATACACACCCCTCATCCCATTCATTCTCCCCATAGTCCCTCCAGGGGGGCATTTGCAGCATCTCCATGCTGTATGACAGCTGTCCTTGGCCAGAAGCCTTCAACACCGGACAGGGACCAAGACTGCTCGCCATCACACCCTCATTGCCTTCATGGTGTCTGGCGTGAAGCAGCACCAGAGAGAGTCTTGAGGAGGGGAGAGAGGGGACAGAGGGAGGGCTGAGATTCAGTGATGCACCCGAGTTCACCCAGCCAGTGAATGCCAAAACGGTCTTAGACCTAAGCTTCCCAAGTCCTTTCCTTGTTTTCCTCATTACCCCAAGGAGGCCCTTCTAGCTCCATGATCCTATTAAACAACAACAACAACAAACTGTCCTGGTTGCAGCAAAGGCAGAGCAGCCTAGAGCCTGATGGTTCCTTCAACTCCAGCGGGGTCTTCAAGGCTGGGGTCTGCTCTGCCTGCCTGTCTCAGCCTCATAGGCAGGGCTGTGGGGCTCTGAGCAAGGACCATACTCGGGGGCCAGAGTGAGGCCGTACCCGGGAAAGAATGCAGCTCAGGGTAAGGGGCGGACAAGAGAGAGGGGTCTGGGGCCCTCTACTCACCACAGGATTTCATTTCTGGTCAGGAAGGTCAGGGCCTGCAACAAATCACAGAGACGTGACCTGCCCTGCTCCCTTGGGGAGTCCCTCCCCGTCCTTGTGACCTGGGAGAAGGGTGCTGGCACAGACCTAGAGAGCAGATCTGAGACAAGACTGAAATCTGGGCTCTGGAGCAGCAGCCAGACGGAGGAAGTAGCCCCCATGGACTAGTCTGGACCATGTCTGGACCTGCCTCGCAAAGGCAAGGGCCGCCCCACCCTGCCTAATAAACTGCAATTTCAGGCAAGTTTTCCCATCATCCTGCCTGCCTCGGGGAGCTCCCACCTCTGTTAGAATCCCAGCCTACTCTACCTACCTGGTACTCTTCCAGGTCCTCCCAGTGCATCTGGTACCTCAGACATTGCCCCATGCTGACCCCACACTTCCCTCTGCCAGCAGCAGAACCTCAGCCCCAAGGGCTCACCAGTTGCTGCAACCAGGAGACCGGTTGTCATGGCGACCTACATTCTACCTTCTGCCCATTCTACCTGAGCCACTTAGTTGGCAAAGAAATAGATTCTTTTATCCCCAAGGCTAAGAGATGGCACCTCCAAAAAACCAAACAGCAAAGCAGCCCAGGGGCCAGCCAGTGGAGCAGTGGTAACACGATTACAATACTGGACCCACATGGGAAGGTCATGGGCTTATGTCCCAAGGCTGCCTGGTTCACACCAGGCGTGTGCGTGGGTGCCTGTGATCCGGGCTGGCTGAGGCTGGGGGTGAGTCATGGTGTGAGGACCCTACTGGGTGCCTGTCTATTTCTCCCTCTCTCTCTTATGGAAGAAATAAATGAATAGCCTTAAAACAAAACCAAACAGCCCACTAGTGGGGCTGAGAGTCAGCAATCACACTGCCTGGGTTCACGTCCCAGATCTACCATGTGCTGACCACATGACCTTGGACAATGCGTCATAGATTCCTCTTCTGTAAAACAAGGATGAAAAGCATGGAACTGCTGCGAGGACCAGTTGAGTTAGCACAGGTGACAACGCCTGGCATGCAGTAGCGCTCAATGAGTGTTATGAGAATCACGTCTCAGCACTGTGCCAAGTGTGGGGTACAAGCATAGACAGTGATCTCAGGAAGTGACTCCCAAAAGCACAGAAAAGGACCCCATCGGAGACCCTGCAGGAACAGAGAACTGGATAATGGGGAAAGGCTCTCTGCAAAGGTGAGGCCAGGGTGCAAGGAAGCTACCCATCCAGGAGACCGCAGAGTCCTGGGGCTAGGAACAGGGTGACAGTGGAGATGCTACCAGCCCTGGCTCTGTGACACTTGAAATAAATACCCCAGCCTCACTTGCCCTGCTTCTCTGATCTCCTATGGGACGGACAGCAGGGTGGAGCCGATGGGTAACAAATCTGGGACGATGAGAAGGTGTGCAGCACAGCTATCGTCAGTACAGGCCAGAGGGTCTTCTGGAAGTCATCTTAGCCTTCCCTGCCTCCAGGGTGGTCTGCCACACATCCTCACCGTCCGGGTGCTGGTTCCCTTGTTCTAGGACAACTCCTCCCACACGCTCCTCTAGGGGCTTCCTGACGAAGCTCATTCGTATCTCCCAAAAGGCAAACACCCACTTTTCTTCATCTGTTCTCTGCAGAGATGGAGAAACCCAAAGCCCTCATGCTTCCGTTTCCTCGGCACATTGTGGGCTGTCTACCGTGTGCCAGGTGCTCGGCTTGGCCCTGAGAAAGTCGCCTAATGTGGCCTCAGCCCTCAAGAGACATAAACTCACCACACACACACACACAAAGGCACACACACGCACACACACCAAGGGGAATGAAGGCAGATGTCATCAGAGAGGTAATAGCACAGACTTGAGAGTATTTAGAAGAGAAAGACCACTGGGCAGGAAGCCTTCCTATAGGTGGTAGTATTTAAGTGGTCATTAAAATGTTGTGGTTAAGAATATAGCAGTTGAGGGGCCAGCAGATGGCATGATGGTGAAGGCAGTGGAATCCCATATAGCCTACCATAGTTCAAGTCCTGAATCTACTTGATGGGTTGCTCTCTCTCTCTGTCTCTCCCTGGTAACATGCGTGCCCTGTAACAAATTTATTTTAAAATGATAAATAAAATTAAATAATTATTATATTTTTAGAGAGATTTTTGCTATAGGGCATGTACACTCACCAAAGAGACAGAGAAACACAGGAAGTGAGAAATCACCCCTCAGGGGAGATGGCCACCCCACAATCCCTTCTCCGTTCTCCTCATGGGATCTTGGCATGCACACTCACGTGTCTGGCATGAGTTTTAAGCCACTGGGTCTGGGACTTGAACCATGGTTAACTATGTAGGAGGCCAGTGACATAGTCATTATGCCATCTGCTGGTCCTGATAATTCTTTAAAAACAAGAAAAGAAAAGAAAAGAAGAGAAGAGAAGAGAAAAGAAAAGAAAAAAAAAGAATATAGGGGTTGAAATATCAAAGGCCTTGGTCAGGTCTTTGAGGTGTGGAGGTTAAGGTGATTGGATCCCGCATGGTTGATTCAGAGGTTCGAGTCCTGGACTGGCAATTTGAAAATGTGCCAGACACAAGTGCAGGTGGGCCCAAAATCCAAAGAGGAGAATGGACGTGGAGGGATTGCTGCATGGTCATCCCACCCAGAAGGTTTTATTTCTCTCTCTCTCTCTGATGCATGTGCACACACACTCTCTGGCATTTAAAAACCAAATAGATAAATAAAATAAAAGTTGAACCTTAGCAGGCAAAGTCAGTAATTAACTGCCTCCTTCCACCAAACCTTTGTACTTCTGCTGTGATTTATGGAGCAGTTCCTACCTGCTGAGTGAGTCCACATCAGGGGTCTCCATTTGGGCTCACTGCAGCCCCGTGAGATCCTTCGCTCTGGGGAGGGCGGAAGCTGGTGAGGTTAAGCGATGCCATCAGGTCACTCAGTTGGTAAGCGAGTAAGTCTGAGATGCCCAAGGCCCGGGAATCCCAGGGAAGCCGGGTGATCTACAGAATCACACCCCAGTAGGCTGCTTCCTTCCCCAGTTCTCGCCTAGTCCTCCTGATTATAGTGAGGTGCCGGCAGCAGCATGCCACAGCTGGCCTCGCCTTTAACACCTGCCTGGCACTTGCTAAAAGGAGAAGAGAAACAAAGGCGAGAACCGGCCTGCAGCTCAGAGCTTTTAGCAGATGCCTCCACCACCGTTGGTTGCACTGGGCAGCAGAGACAGTGCTGAGGGAGAGAGCAAGCACTCTGCGCTCTGAGAGCCAGACCCGCATGTGCGTCCACATGCCTGAGAGAGCCTAAGTGCACGAAAGTAATAGGCAGGCGACGGAAGGGCTAGTGAGGCCATGGTGCCATAGAGGCTGGTGGTCACGGAAGCTTCTGGAGGGGACATCACAAGAGCAGGGGCCTGAGCAAGCTGGAGGGGTGAGCGCAGCAGAGAAGATGGGATGGGGGTAGTTTTCCAGGCCCAGAAGGTTACAGGACCCAGCTATAATTTAATAACACTCTTTGGTTTTCCTTGTACTCGGTTACCTGGTACCTCCCATTTTAAAAAAGATACAAGTTTGTCATTTATGACTGTGATAAAAAATTTCCTTTATAGAAGTATTTGTTGAATTAAAAGAAAAAGAACTCATTTACCAAAAAAAAAGTAAGTAATTCTACAGGTGATAAAGGAATATACTGGAAATCACAAAGGTTTCTCACCCTCTTACCCCCCCCCCCCCCACACACACACAGCCAAGATTTGCAAACTCTGCTCTCTCCTCTCTCAGCTTTCACCTTCCCAACCCCTCAACCCCTGCCTACCCCCGCCCCGCCCCACACGGGCACTGTGATTTTATCCTACAGAAGGTTTTCATTGTTTCCTACAAATAACAGGGTAACAATACCACCTTACATTTGCATATCCCTTTATAATAATTCCAAAATGCTTTTCTCTGTCCCATCTCATTGCCCCAGAAATAAAAGCCTACGCTCCCTAAAAAGAGAAATCTCCCCCATGTGACTCTGCCTCAGTGCACTAACCCAGCAGCTTCCTATCCCCTCCAGCCCAGTGAGTCTCTACCGCCTCTTCAGCAAGGACTTTGAAAGGCTGTAGCTGGCAGTGAGCAGGCTCCAGGGAAAGACAGTTCTCTATCCTTCTCCTATAGTCTGCCCCGCCGCCGACCCTCTGCGTGGGATGGAATGCATTCTTTGCAAAGTTTCTGTCACCTGGCATTGGATTCTACATACTTAAAACTGCAACCCCTGTTTCTATTCTGATATAGACAACTTAAAATTCAAGAGGGATTGGAAAAAAATGTGCAGTCTGAATATGTCTTAAAAAAAAAAAAAAAAAAAAAAAAAACCCTCTTATGGGACCAGCAGCAAGCCCATGTAGTCAACCGCAGTTCGAGTACCAGACCTGGTGGCTTAAACTCACGCCAGGCGTGTGTGTGTGCATGCCCAAGATCCTGAGAGGAGAATGGAGGAGAAGGGATTGCGGCGTGGTCATTCCCCCTGGGGAGTGATTTCTCACTTTCTGTCTCTCTGTCTCTCTCTGTCTTTCTGGCGAGCTCATGCACCCAATAGCAGAAACCTCTCCAAAAACAAAACAAAACAAAACAAAAAAACCTCTTACAACTCAACAATAAAAAGAGAAGTAAGCCAGCTAAAAAAATAAGCAAATGGCCCAGCCATAGTGGCACATGCTGGTAGAAGCTGCCACTCCAGAGGCCCAGATTCAGTTCCCAGCCTGTCCTATAGGTGTGAGTCTCTAATCCCACCTATAGGAGGTGGAGGCAGGAGGATTGTGACATAGCAAGGCCCTGTCCATACAACAAAAACAGCAAAGGCAAAGGATCTGAATAGACATGCTCCAAAAAAAAGATACATGAATGGCCAATGAGCACGTGAACAGATGTTCAGCGTCACAGCTTCCAGGGAGATGCAAATCAAAACCACCATGAGATACCTCTTCATGCCCATTCTGGTGGGTTTTCAAAAAGGCAAGTAACAAAATTATGACATAACCCAATAATTCTACTCTTAGGTAGAGCCCCCAGAGAGATGAAGACACATGTGCACACGAAAACTTACACGAGAATGTTCATAACAATGTTGTCCATAATAACCGAAAAGTGGAAGCAACCTAAATGCCAATCAACTGATGAAGGGATTAATGAAATGTGAGATAATCCATATAATAGAGTAATACTGGGCAATAAAAAGAAATGATGTATCCATACATCCTAAAGGGAAAAGGGTGATCACAAAAAGTCATATACTGAATAATTCGATTTCTGTGTCTAGAACAGATGAACCCAATCCAGACAGAAAGTTGGTTGGTGGCTGCCAGGAGATCTGGGAAGGGGAGACTGGGTGGTGACTGTGAATGGATGTGAGGCTTCTTGTGGGGTGATGGAAATGTTGTCTAAGTAGACGGTGGCAATGGTTCTGCAACTCGGAATATACTAAAAACC